GATTATGAAATATGGATACAAACATATCTCACACACTCACATAGGTAAACATAGGCAAATCAAGCAAGTTTGCAGATGTTACATTTTCCAGTTTTCTTTTCTTTTGTTGTCCCCTAAGATATCTAGGGGAGACCTCAATAGCCTTTTAGATTTCCAGCCTTGTGCATGACAAAGTTGGATAGGATTGGTATAAAAAAAAAAAAATATTGTTTTTTTTTTATTTATTTATTACAGGTACTTATATAGCGCTGTCAGTTTATGCAGTGCTTTACATATGTATATTGTATATTCACATCAGTCCCTAACCCTCAAGGGGAGTACAATCTAAGGTCCCTAACTCATATTCATACATACACATACTAGGGCCAAATTAGACAGGATCCAATTAACCTTCCAGCATGTCTTTGGAGTGTGGGAAGAAACCCACGCAGGCACAGGGAGAACATGCAAACTCCAGGCAGGTGGTGCAGTGGTTGATTCGAACCAACGACCCTAGTACTGCCAGGTGAAAGTGCTAACCATTTAGCCACTGTGCTGCCAAGAAAATGCTTTCTTGGCATCCCTTTATATGTTCTTCTCCCATTTACAGTCTCCTGCAGAGAATTAACATGACCAATTACATCTGAAGCATGTCTTTCACACAAAAATAAACTACAGCAAGTTTGCTTCTCCTTCTACTTATTAAGCCGTGTACCGGGGTGGGCTCCCCAGGATACAGTGAAGTCACGAACGAGGAAGGCAACCCCAACACCAGGTTTTGCCAAATCAGAATTTTACTTAGATGTGGCAAATAAACACAACCACAAATGCTGGGAACATACAATAAATTTACATACACCCAGCCCAAAGGCCGAGACCCTTGTGCTGCACAGCACGGCGCCTTCTGATGGATGACGCTAGAAAGCAAAGTAATTTACCTACTGGCGGGCACAACTAAGCTGCCACACCTTACCTGTTATTACCCTAAAAGAGCAGGAATCAGTGTATGGGTGTACGGTATGGGCTAGCCTGTGGTGCAGCACAACAGCTTACAATCTTACACAAATCTACAGTATTCCCCCTCCCATAACTGGTCCTGTAGCACGTGCCTGAGTATTCCTTTTGAGCAAAATGCCAGTCTGGCTTGAGTTTGTGGGATTTTATCAGCTCTCCAATGTGAAATGTCACTTTAAGTTGTGGAGTCCTTCCAATGATCAGTAACAACACTTGTGGCCTGACACAAACAGAGACCCTAACTAACTAATTATAGGCCTGTCTCAGTCTCTGGAGGCGCCAACACTGAAATGAGGTGCGTGCACGATCTTACCGACCCAGGTCTGCCTTGCATCTGCTGGTGACTCAGAACAGAACTCTTGTTTCTCCAACAAGCATGCGATCTCATCAGCCTTCCTGGCAGCGATCTTCCTTTCTCTGAACAAGATCAGCGTCTTGAACACCATCAGCTTCACTAGCTGCAGTTCTCACACCTGGATGCCAACGGATTCTCTGCTCACATGGCTCTTTTCCTTCACCATCATCAAAACATAGCTGCAGTCTCTCTTCTTGTTCACTAAGCTCCCATGTGTAAAACCCCACCCCTTCCTGAATATAGAAATATCTATGCAGTCTGAGGCTGTGTTAGAAAAACAGTGACATCTTGTGGCTAAATCGCAGAATGTCAGTAAAACATTTCAAAACATTTAATTCACAATGAGAGCTGTTTCCCATCTCACACTTACACCAAGTTTTCATTAATCGATCTATTTTTTAGCCAATTATGGAGGACAACAGGGTTTTTCTTTTCTTTTTTTTGGAAGATTTTTGGGACTTTTTGATTAGACATATCAAGAAATATGTGTTAAAACTTTATTTTCTTCATTGCAAAGGCAAAGTTCCTCCTTGGAATCCACAACCAGCTGTAAGGACAGAACATTTAAGCTGTATGATCGGACCAGGGTTTTTGATGCTGTGGCCTATGGGGACTGTGAAGAATTAGATGATCTTCTGGTTTATTTACTCCGTACTCAGAAACATCTTACTGATAAAGAGTTTAAAGGTAACACACTGATACATTTTCCATGCATCATAAAATCAGAATTGAGTTTATTTTAATTTTTATTCAACAGAACCAGAAACAGGGAAAACTTGTCTACTAAAAGCCATGCTGAATCTGATTCAGGGGAAAAACGACACAATTCCACTCTTACTCGAAATTGCAGAAAAAAACAGACAATCTGAAAGGATTCATCAACGCAGCATACACAGACACCTATTACAGAGGTAAGAAATACCTGTATTATCTGCAGTGCAAATGTAGTAAATGCTGGTTACAAAGATCAGTCTATGGTTGCATCCTACAGAACAAAGTCTGCAGGATCATTCAATGGAACTGGAAGTGTTCAAGCCATCCCCAGGCTATCAGCTGAACACTAGTATTATTGCTGACGTAGACACTATTGCCTTAACTCTCTAAAGTTTTGTAGCTGGACTGTACATTTGTATTGCTACCCCCACTGGAGCCGCTTGGTAGATTGGGTTCTCTGTTCTTCTGCTTTGACTCTGAGAACAACCTCAGCCCCATTGATACACCAGGTTAAGAAAATGGATACTGCACTGCTGCTGGGAGCAAAAATATACTAGATACCCTGCACACACCTAAGGTTCAGTATCAAAAAGCAAACATCAGACTAGTTAGTGGTAACTGAACCCTATATGTTGTCAAGGGTTGCATTAAATAGCAGTATGAACATAAAGTAAAGGATTAGGTCAATCACAGTTCATTAGACAATATGTTCATTACACTATAGCAGCATTGGATGTTGTTCTATGCAGCTAATTTAGAGTAAACCTGATAATCCGTAAAATCAGCAATAAGTAATGGCATTAGAAAACAGTAACAGCAATGATAATCAATACTGCAATAATGCCTCTGTAGTCAGTTTCTCAGCTATATCCATTTTAGAGTGCACTCTATATGAATGGCAATGCTGAAATTTAAATCTCCTTAAAGAGGTACCTCTTACTATGGACAATAGGCAAAGTTCTTGTGATGCAGCCATGTGAGTGAGTAGCCTTATTTTTTTTGGCTAGCGTTGGAGCCCAGTCTTTACGTTTGGTGCACATGAGTACAGTCCCAGTAAAGTCTGCATGCAGTAAATAATGCTGTTAGTTAGATGGATAATCTCAATCTGCTCAGTCTCTGCAAGCAGCAACAGGTTAATGACAGCAGTGTCCTCTCACCAGTCCCAAGAATACAGCAACTCCGGTCCACAGCACACGGCAGCAGGCAGGAGCAGCAATATGCACACCTCGGTCTCCTTCATGCAAAAAGAAAGTTCCTAGGAATTCAGCCTGTGAAAATACAGATCTCTCACGCTTTATACCCTGCTCGCATTGGGAATTTTACTCCAAAAGTCCATTAACTGCCACAGTAAAGTTTCTCTTCCAAGTGTCATCTCACATGATTCATTGCTGCCAACCAATCATGCCTCTTGAGCACCTTGTGCTTGTCAGCTCCCCTGGTGGATGGAGGTAAGTCAGTGTTAAGCCATTCAGCTGAAGTCCAGTGAAAACACAGTAGGCACTGCAGTAGTGTTGTCAGGAATGGACTCAGCACTGGTGGTGGGACTCATCTGCCGTATGGGCTGCAGTACCAGAGCTGACCAGCGGGTGCTCTCAGCAGCCAGAAGCTCACACGTGCAATCAGCCAAACCTGGGGCTGATTGCAGAAAGGTGTATTTAAGGCATGACCAGGCCTGTGATCTGGGCCTTGGTGTATGTTTTCCCATGAGCCTATGTACCTGGTATCTTGTGGTCCTGCTTCGTTGCTGACCCAGCTTGATCCTGACCTCTGCTGACCGTCTCCTGTTGAACCCCTGGCTTGCCTGACCATCCTTTGCCTGATCCCTTGTACTGCGCTGCCCGTGAGTTACTGAACCCGGCTTGTGACCTTGACCATTCTCTGCCTGCTCCTTTGGTACCTTGCTGCCCGCACATTGCTGACCTGGCCTGTCTGACCACGCTAACTACTCTGCCATCCATCCATCCTGCACGGATCCAGCCGTCCCTGCTCACACCTTCTGCCTCTTCACATCAGGCTTTCTACCTGCACATACCTCTGGCGGATCCCTCTACCACTAGCAGGTGTACTCAGGGGCCACGACCTGGTTCCTGTCTGCTCCAAGTCCATCCCCACCATCAGGGGCCCTGGTGAATAAGCAGACTGGGACTTAGACTCCGCGCCCTGGGGAATCCTGTCCTGGGGACCACTAGAGGTACCACCAAACAGTCATTACAAAACCCTACGGCCGGCCTGACCGTTCCACCTCTCCAGCCCTGACTACGCCTGTGTTCCTGCACCTACTAAGATTAGTGGAAGGTTGGTTTGTTCACTGTGCTTTTATATATATTTTATATGGGTGGCTAATAATAAACTGTATTATTATACTATACCTGAAACCTGCGTTTCCCTGTGTCAGTCCACACCTTTCTGGTCACTCCTAGATTCCTGACAAGGTCCTAATTCGCTCCCTGTATCTAGCCAAGCATCTGGCTATAATATTTATAATAATTTGATGCTGGTTGAATAGATATTACCCTGGCATTCTACATTCCTAAAGCCCCCTAGCATTAATATATCATTAGAGTTTCTGCACCCCATCCTCATCTCAGGATTCTCACTCTTCTAGCTACATCAGAAGCAATCTAATTTCTCCTATATATCGTCCTTTGCATAAAATAAAAGGAAACTCCAGTAGGGAAATAAAAGCCCTCTCATAGTAGTTGCAGCATGTGTATTTGCAATCAGGGGGAACAGAATTTTTCTGAGAGAAACTGGAAAATATGTAAGTCAAATGATTTATCCTTCCAGCGTCTACCCAGATCTGAAATTCGGGTTCAGGTAAGCTGTTCTTTGAAGTCCAAAAGTGTCTTTATATTTATGGTTGCAGTTGGTAAATGTGATGGTTACTTCCTTTCTACAAGGTCAGACTGCTCTACATATTGCTATTGAACGAAGGAACATGAACATGGTGGAGCTTTTGGTACAACATGGAGCTGATGTTCATGCAAGAGCAGATGGCGAATTCTTCAGGAAAGCCAAAGGAAGAGCTGGATTCTACTTTGGTGAGAATAACTTCTACAGTGGCATACACAGTTAAAATAAAATAGACCATAAGGCTGATTTAAAAGAGAAGCATGGCTTTATAAAAAATAAACAATCATGCTTATCTAGCTGGCTGCAGCACTGATCCCAACTGCAGATGTCCCCGCCACCTCTAAGGCCAAGAACTGAGTGATCAGACACTGCTGATTATTCATCTCTGAACTCTCATCTTCAGCTTGCAGAGAACCAGTGACTGTCAGTCACCCAACTCTCTGCTTTGTCTCTCCAGCACTCACCGGAGCACCGAGCTGTGAAGGGGGTGGGAGTGGCTGGCTCAGGCTCTCAGCAGCATTCTGAGAGGCTGAGCCAGCTACTGCTCTAGGGATCTGGGTGGATCCTTACTTTAATGTCGGGATCTTTCCCCAGCCTGGTCTTTTAAGTGATGCCAGCCAACAGTGGGCTTTAGCCAAAAAGCTTTGGCTATACAGTATTTGACCTTTAATAAAGGAGTGAGAATGTTTACACCAAAAAAGAGTGAATATTTACGTCAATTATCCAATCATGAAATATCTAAACAAGAATTCACTTTTCACATGCTTGGATGATTGAAGAGAATATTCCTTTTGTGCGAATAGTCTCACAGATCCAATAATGATATTTTAAGGATTTTCTACTGTCATTTGTGTACCTAGCACATTTAAGCCCCTCCTACTGTTTGAGATTTTTTTTTCTAAATTATTCTTACCTAGGCGGATGCAGCATCGATCCAACACAACTGATCGCTCAGTTCTCCCTTCTGCTCTGAGGGTTGCGCTGGACTGTGGAGGGGGAGGGGAGCAGCTGGCTCAGCCTCTCAGTGTATCTCTGAGAGGCTGACCCAGCTGTTGGTCCATGGATCTGGGTGGATCCCAACTTTAAAGTCAGGATCTTTCGCCAGCCTGGAACAGTGATGACAGGTGACTTTAGCCCACTGGCGGTTGAAAACAGGTCACAGAAGTGCAAAACAAACTTCACTCCTGTGATCCACATGAGAAATACAGCCAAATAAGCTTTAAATAACACCTAAGCCTACTCCCCCATAGGCCACAGTACTTTTGCCCACAAAATATGCTTTCATGACTGTGCCACAAGCAAATGTGTAACAGACGTACTAACCTCAGGGTGCTCATTTTAATGAAATTAAACTCTTCGATTACATATGCTTTTCTATACACATCCTATCTCACAGAAATGTAATGTTCATAGTGTAAAGTAGTCAGAAGCATGAAATGTAAAGCATTTTGGGGGAAAAGATCAAACCTGGAGCAGCTGTGCATAACAATCAATCACCTTCTATCTTCTATCTTCAGTTAAGCTTTGAAAATGAAAGCTATGAGCTGATTGGTTTCTATACACAACTGCTTCAGATTCTGGCAGTTCCAGTTTTAATACACTGCTCAAAAAAATTACAGGAACACTTTTTAATCAGAGTATAGCATCAAGTCAATTAAACTCCTGGGATATTGATCTGGTCAGTTAAAGCAGAGTTCCCCTTAAAAGCAGAAGCTCCACTTGTCTGCCTCCTGCCCACCTCCACTGCCATATTTCTCACCTTTTGGGGGGAGCGGATACCTGTTTTTGACAGGACTCCGCTCCTACTTCCGGCTCAGTTCACTGCGGCGAAGTGAGCCAAAGGTTTGGCCCCCTCCTCCCTCCTGCAGTCTCCTGGGAACTTTCACAGGTCCCAGGAGACTACCGGACAAATTGGGAGGCGTAGCACAACTAGCGCATGTGCAGTGAGCACCAAGCTGTCACAGCTGGTGCCCACAGTTGAGATGCCGTCGCCGTGGAGGAGAGAAGGGGAGAAGGGGAGAAGGGACCGCACATGTGAGAACATCGCTGGACCCTGGGACTAGGTAAGAGTGTGTTTATTAAAAGTCAGCAGCTACAGTTTTTGTACCTGCTGACTTTTAATTAACACTAAAATGGCTGGAACCATGCTTTAAGTAGCAGAGGGGGTTGTTAATCAGTTTCAGCTGCTTTGGTGTTAATTAAATTAACAAGTGCACTATATGGGCAACAATGAGATGACTCCCAAAACAGGAATGGTTTTACAGGTGGAGGCCACTGACATTTTTTCCCTACTCATCTTTTCTGACTGTTTTTCACTAGTTTTGCATTTGACTAGGGTCAGTGTCACTACTGGTAGCATGAGGTGATACCTGGACCCTACAGAGGTTATTGATATCAATTAGAAGAATAGTGCCCCATAGGGGAGATTGGTGCTCCAGCATTGGTGTCAGTTGGTAGAATAGTGCCCCAAGGGCCAGATAAAGGCAAACTTAGGGCCACATTCGGCCCCAGCCACAGTTTGGAGACCACTACTCTTGTGTATCTAAAATTCAGTTTAAGCTATCAAGCTCTGTAAACAACCGTAAACTGCAAAATAAATATGAAAGGGAGCCAAGAGCTCGACCAGCTGGCTGCCTGTAAAATTACAAAATATCAATACACAATACTTCATACTGAACAAAAAAATGTAACTGTTATTTCTTAGTCCTAAGTATAATAAATCAATTAAAAAAAAAGAAAAACATATAGGAATATCTTGTAATATTGTGTACAAATTTGATTATATCTTGTACAGGACACCAGGGATGGGTCTTGGACAGGGGATATATTTCCACACTATTTGGGTTTTCACCTGATTAATATCCCTGACTACCTAAACATTACTGTCTAAAATAGTTTTTTTATGGGAGTAACTTATATGATGATTTTCTGTTTTGTAGGGGAACTACCTCTGTCTTTAGCAGCATGTACAAACCAGATACGGATAGTCCAATACCTTCTTCAGAACCAGTACTCTCCAGCCAACATTGCCGCCCGCGACACCTTTGGAAACACGGTGCTGCACTCGCTGGTTGACATTGCAGACAACACTGTGGAGAACACAAAGTTTGTCACCAAGATGTATTCAGAAATTTTGGTGCTGGGTGCACAAATTAAACCTTCCCAGAGATTGGAGGAAATTTCCAATAAGAAAGGTCTTACTCCTTTAACCTTAGCAGCAAAAACAGGCAAAATTGGGGTAAGTGATGTAGTCGGTTGTGTAATATTTGTCCAGAACATGATTTTCTATATAGTTAGATGTTGTATGTCACTTCTAACTATTCAGGTATTTGCTTATATCCTTCGAAGAGAAATAAAGAATCCAGAGTGCCGACATCTCTCTAGAAAGTTCACTGAATGGGCCTATGGCCCGGTCCATTCCTCCCTGTATGATCTGTCTGGTGTCGACACCACTGAAAACAACTCCGTACTTGAGATTATTGCTTACAGCAGTGAAACTCCGGTAAGTGGCTATCTGTTAAATTTTTATGGGAAGTTTTCTATGACGTACAGGATATGATAACATTGAAGCAGTATTAAAGCCCCCACAAATGTAATATATTACAGCTTATTAATTCTTAAATTCTTTATTTTCCCTTGGTGATCTGGCCAGTAATACACTACCTTAGGGTGGTTTCTCTATCTATGGAGGAGCAACAGGGTCACCCTTGGACAGTAGCACTGTCTGGATAGTGTAGTGTTAGATGGACTAGCAGATTTAGAAGATGGACTAGCAGATTTAGGAGATGGACTAGCAGATTTAGGAGATGGACTAGCAGATTTAGATCAACTTTACATTAGTGAATAACAAATTAAATCTGAACTTCAGTAAAACACTTTTTAAGCAGTTACAACAGTTTTGTCTCTTTTGGGATAAAAATGGAACTCAATAGAAAAACATGCTATAGTTGGGCACATAGATTATAATATTGTACACTGTGATATCCTCCATTATATCTTCTTCAGAATCGGCATGACATGCTTCTAGTGGAGCCTCTCAACAGACTCTTACAAGATAAGTGGGATCGCTTTGTCAAACGTGTATTCTACTTTAACTTCTTGGTGTATGTGGCATTTGTCATCATCTTCACTATAGCTGCCTACTACAGACCAGTGCAAGGAAACGTAAGTCCTTTTTCAATATGTTGTTACATTATTATTATTATTAATAATAATAATAATCAATACTGGTGATTTTTATTAATAGCCATTTTAATTCTGTTCCTTAGCCTCCATTTCCAGTAGATAGCACACTTCGTACCATAGGAGAACTGATCACTGTTTTAGGAGGATTCTACTTCTTTTTTAGAGGGGTAAGTCATCACACCTAAAGAATTTACAAATCATAAACAAGCTATTATGATAAGTACAATATTGAACCTACCCAGTAGATCCCAGTGATTACCCACTCTGGATCTTAGGACTTTTCCAGTCAGATTTACTTTTTCATCAGTTTATAGCATTCAGATCAGTGATAAATAATATGTGTAAAAAGAACTTGCACTTAGATTCTAACAATTAAAACGATAAAGCAGCTTGCACATTAAATAGGCAAAGACTTAAATAATAACAAATAATTGCAGCGCTATCTATACATGCATCTTAATGGTATAGCAAAAAAGGTGAATAATAAATGCACATAAGTGGCAGAAAAGTCCATATAGGATTCACATATGCAGGTAGAAGTTGGTGCATAAAGAAAAATGCCCGATCCAGATAGAAGACCATCACCTTCCACCCAAAAAAACTGGCCTCTTACCAGAAGGTTTGACCACCCACAGGATCGGCCAAAATACACAGTATAGTATATCCAACTGATACAGCACCAGGTCTTCAGCGCTGACTGCTCACAGACACTTCTCTAAGTTATAGATACTCTTGAGTAGCAAACTTTTCAAAAGGTAAGTTGTTGGGCAGATAGCCAAAGCTGTGCTATTGTTTTCCTTTGGTCCAGGAGAACAATGATAATGGCTTCAGGCCAGGATTCTTACAAGACTACCATATTACAGTCCAACTTCAAACTTAAGAGGATGACACGTCCACCTGTTCAGTTTCATGATGGTGTTTTATGTTACAAATACCATACAGGGGCTCGATCCATTCATCCTAGCAAGGAGGAGGCGGGGTTAGTGATGTCAAGGGGGCGAAGCAGGAATCTGTGCTGGGGCTGTATGTTGCTGAGAGGAAAGCATCATCAACCTGCAAGGAATGGCAGCTTCTTCCCTGCAATGAGATTCTGATCTCCCATGCAACAAGCAGATCCCTCTGGATCTCCCATTGGCTCCCCCTTCTGTCACTCAAATCCTGTGAGGAGGGAGCGGGGGCGTAGTGGAGCTGCACTGTGTATATCAATAGATGCACACATCCTGGCTCAGAATCAAGCCCACACCATAGGCTTGCTGTGGGGGCACTCGGAATGGAGGATTTGCCAGAAGCACCGGCAGGGACCCCAAAAGAAGAGGTTTGGAGCTGCTCTGTGTAAGACCATTGCACAGAGCAGGTAAGTATGACATGTTTATTATTTATGCCTATGTCTCACAAACATCGATGAGGTAGTAACACCAAAATTCCAAGTTCTGCCTGACTGCTGTAACCATTACCAAGTAAAAAAAATGGTGCTATACTTCCCAGGCTGATTCTTTATATTGTTCAATAAATATACATTTGGGAAATTTAGCTTCAAGAGTGTCACCTTTAGTATGACCTTGTGTTAAGTGAGCTGATACAAAAACTTGCTTTTCTGAGAGATACGAAAAGCCCGCAGATAATTCACTTTGTTACAATTTTGAATGATGGAGTTGCTATTTAGTTTTAAAAGCTAGGATTATCATCTTGTTTTTTCAGATCTAAGATTGTGAAATTTATAAATTAACATTTTTGTTTTTGGCTTATTTAGATCCAGTACTTTTTGCAGAGACGTCCAACTATGAAGGCACTTATGACTGACAGCCACAGTGAAGTTTTATTGTATGTAATGCATTTTATCCATTTATCATTTTTTTTTTAAGTAATAATAAATAAATAAATTAATTAATTAAATAATGATAATTAGCATACAAAAGTGACTCCATTTAACCATTAACATACTCACAAACAATGTAAAGGATGTGTCCACTTGGAGTGGACACCTGAAACACTAGTCATTTGGTCCCCTTGGAAATTGCCTTTAGTTAGAGGTACTGTATTTTCCTTCACTTCTGTACAAAAAATGGCCACCGCCAAAGTCTATAACTGGCCTTCACAGCAAGGAACACATGGAAGGGCGAAGCATGTCAAACAACAAAAAAGAAAAGAAGAGAATTTCCCTTCACTTCTGTACTGATGACAATGCTTTCACCATACAGGGAGTGAGAGGAAATCTCTCTGATAGCAACACTGACAACATTTTTTTTTTTCTATAGAACAGGGGAAGAACTTTTGTTAGCCTTTTATTTCTATCTGTGTCACTGTTAGGGATTCTCCCCCACTTCCTGTCTGGTAAGACTGTTGTCACTGGAACCATAAGTGAGGGGAAAGTTCTGGATAGCCGTAAAACCTCACAGGAGTTCTACTCTCCTTTTCCATCCTATCCATGGCTAGAAATGTTTGTCTGGGTATACACTTTAAAAAAATTACATTTTTTTTTAAATGGTCAATTTGAAAAAAAAAATGATGAGCACCATCATGACATAATTGATTTGCAGTGTTTTAAACACCCCATTTAGTTACAAGCTGGTGTTATTCAAATTTGAATCTAAAATTGCAAAATCTGATTCTGTCTGTCCTACCCAGATTTAGAAAAAAATATGTTTGGCTGTGATTTAGCGTTGGTAAGCTACACTTTTATGTATCTTGCTGGTACTATAGCAGTGATCTACTTGAGGTGAAGGTACCTCTCTATACTTTTGGTTGATACCATTACAATGGTGTCAATACACTTACAAAGCCCAACACTTCTGCATTATCAGTTGTGTCCTTTAGAAGAGCTCACAATGTAATGGCCAAGTGTGACCTGTTATATTGCTTTTGATGCAAAGCAGAGGTGAAAGCATATCCCTGTGTACCATAGGGTGCAGGCTTGTCCTGATACCAGAGGGCTAGTAAATGTAAAGAGGAAAGGATCACTGCTACTCCAACCCAGACCACACACCCTGATGTATTTTGCCCCTGTGGGCAGAGCGAAATGCATCAGGGTGTGTAGTTTGGTGTAAACATGTAGGCTGAGGCTGTTCCTTTTCGTTTATTCACTTGGGCTGGTTGGGAGTAGCAGCAAACCTTTCTTCTTGCCTTTCATTTAGGGTTTACATGCACTTTACAGCTTAACTCCAGCTTGGACAAAAAGGAAAGCATCCATCCTCTTGTAAAACTAATAAAGTAGCTCTAGTTGCAATGCTCACTGCAGCTTCGGCATTGTCCCTTCAGTCTCACTCTCTCAATAGTCCAGCAATGCTCATCTTCCTGGCTGAATAACTCCCAGCCCAGAACGTCAAGGCTCTACCCTGCCCTGGGACTCATAAGAGACTGCTTAATGTGCTGGGGGGTGCCTAATATAGAGCATAGCCAAAATGAAAGCCACTTATGTTACAGTGGAGAATAGATCATGTACGGAGTCTCGGAATATAGTATATCTTTTTTTATTTCCAGTTTCATTCAGGCTGTCTTTCTGCTGTTCTCTGCATTACTGTACTTTTTTGGACGGCATGAATATGTGGCTTTCATGGTGATTTGCTTGGCCATGAGCTGGGTCAATATGCTCTACTATACCAGGGGCTTCCAGCAAATGGGGATCTATGCAGTAATGATTGAGAAGGTGAGTGAAGCCTTGTTCAGTAAAATCAATTTTTACACATTTGCAGTTAGTGATAGCATAACTTTGTTTGGGTTGGCTAAGCTGTTGTTACTGTAGTTATAAAAATAACCTAAGCATAGCAGGAGTTGCGACATACTAACAGACACTGTCAGTATACAAACTGCATGTGGAACATACCTAATACAGAAACCTCTTTATGTCAGTTTGCACATTTCTAAATCAGTTTTCCATACTTTATAAGTTAACACAGCAAACTCCAAAAATCTGTTTATTTGTAAAGTATAGGATAGTTAAGAATTGTAGAGTTAAATTTGATTATACACAAGTCTATTCTCATATCTTGATGAAGAACGTGGGCCATGATAAAGACTTGGAGCATTTTTGTGATCTCTGATTTATACACATAACCCACGTGAAATTTTACTCTGTTTATAATATAATTTAAAGCCCAACTCCAGGCAAAAAAAAAGTTCTCCAATGCAGTCAGGCTGTGCCTGCACTGCATGGATTAACTGCTCGTTTCTTTCTAGGGAAGAGGAGAACAGAGATACAGTATACTTAGATAATCCTCTGGTCCTTCCACCACAACACTGGTCCAACACCCCCCTGCTCCAGTGGTCTTGAGTAGTGAAGAGCCCAGAGCAGGCTCCATAGAGCAAGAACAATCCATCTCTGGACATTGGGGGAGTGCCATTTTTCAGTGGATTGAAGGCTCAAGTAAGTATAAGCTTTCTCCTCACCCCAAGAAAAAAACAAGCCATTGACCCATGCAGTGCGAGCACACTGCATGGGAAAATGTTTTTTTTTTTGCCCAGAGTTGGGCTTTAACACATGAAAAAGCTGCTATGTTATATCAGATTGCTGCTTTGTATAAGAGACTGTCAAGACAGAGAGAGAGAGATTCATTTTAGAAGAGACTGTTATGTTGAAGGCTCCTGCATGATACTCTACTGTTAAAGTGTATCAAGTACAAATGTACCAAGTACAAAAAGTTAATATTTTGCAGCTTACTAGTCATACAGTGTGGTGGCTGTATTGGTTTACTTTTTTCAGGATTTTTCCCACTTTCTTCACCTGGTGATCCTGCCAGAAACATGCATCTGTCTTACAATCCTACAAAGACAATACCAAGCATTGTCACCCTTAGCTACTTACTTGCTTTTGAATATCTGCCCCTTTCCTTATCTCCTTAACAGAATTGTTTGAGATTTCAGTGCACAGGAAGTTACAAGCATATTGAATATCTATCAGGATCAATCAAATTCTTCTTTACTTGCAGATAGTGCACTTAGCCCGAAAAAAAGAATACTAACACCCTTACCACATTTAAGGGCTAGTTAGGTGCAATATATTCTTGAGTTTAGATATACTTTAGAGATTACTTGCAGATCACAGAATACTGGTGGAGACTACTTTCCTGCAGAACAGACTTTAGACTGCTGCCATATTCTAGTTCAGTCTATGCAAGCAAAAGAAGTCTTGTGCTGCAAGCTATGTATTCTAAGAAACCAATCCAGCTTCACTATATAAAGTATCTAATAAAATCTATTCTGAGTTATGATTGATACATGAGAAATCACACTTATTAAAAATTAGCTTTTCACAGTAAAATTTATAACAAGATTATTTTTCTTAAATAAGAAGAGTATGCATGTGCAAATAAAAACTACAAAAACTTAATCTGGGGTTTCAACTAAATGGTTGTGTACCTCCACCCAAGAATACAAACTTTGGGTAACATAAAACTATTTTAATATTAGCAGGAATTTGGAATAAATAAATGTTATTCTCTGCCTTGCAGATGATCGTAAGAGATATGCTTCGCTTCATGTTTGTCTACATTCTGTTCCTTATTGGTTTTGCTGCAGGTATGAAGGGATGGTATGCTTTGTAAAAGTTTGAACTGATTCATCTCTTGAATGTAGTTTTGTCATTTTCTGCGTTGCACTTCAATCCTTTGAATTTTGTTTCTAAAATGCCAAACTAACTTGCAGCATTCCAGGTCAATACATAGATATCATAAAGCTTGACAACAAAAGGAGAGAGGGAAGAGCATTGATTTATGGCAGTAATAGTAAAAAATATAAATATGCATTTTCATGTGTGTCCAGCAGACAGGACACTTTGTACACAGCCACACCAGAGGGAGAACTACCTGTCTCCAGGGACAACAGTGAAGTGAGATGTTGGAACAGTCCTCCACCTCCAGGCTGCTGTCAGACTAGACAAGATGGTGCACACCTGCGTCTGTCAGAAACTCTAGGACAGCAGTTGGAGCCCAGCTATTTCATGTAACCATTCACTTCTTCCCGGCCATCACAGAGGGTTTACTGTTGTAACCACAGAAATGAGTTTTCAGGGACTAGTCCCCCTTTCTTAAGCCTGTTAGTCTGTGCACTTTTAGCTGGTTTATATGCAAAAAACACATGTCCTTAATCTGTTAACCCGTTGCATCTAGTACAAAACCAAATACTGGCAGAAAACCTGAAATGCTCCAAATATTATATACATTTATAGATACAGATACATAATATTATATAATAATATTTAAAAATATAACTTCACTAAGGTGATTTTCTTGACATTTATGCTCAAAGCACCATCAAGGAAACAATTTTAAAGTGGTAGTAAACTTGTTTTTGACATTTTTACCTACACGTAAGCTTATAATAAAACTTAACTGTAGGTAAAATATATCTCCTAAACAGGGGCAGACTGACCATTTGGAAACTCAGGCACTGCCCAAGGGCCCGGGGTCAGCAGGGGGCCCCATGAGATGCCCCTGGTCCCTTTTTCATAGGCTTTTTTGAGTTTGGGCAAGGACACAGGGGCCCCATGATCTCCTATTGCCCGGGGGCCCCATGAGTTGTCAGTCCGCCCCTGCTCCTAAATGTGCACCGTTTAGGGGATATTCCATTGAGCAGCAGCTGGTGAGTCACTGGTGCATGCACTCTGAGCAAGCGGTGCCGTCCCATCAGAGCTCTGTGTCCGTAAACTGTGACTCCCATGCACATGTGTGGGAGTGACATCATCGGAGACCTGGTGAAGATAGAAGCCCTGTCAGCGGTGACAGGGCTTCTTTTTAAGGTAAGTCTCTCATAGTGTGCTAGTATGCTAGCATACTAGCACATTATGACACTGCCTTGCTTCTTTTATTTCCCAAAATTTACTACTGCTTTACATGCTTATTTTACATGCTTATATATACTTTCTAAATTATATGCATAACTAAAATGAGTAAAAATGTATATATAGAATGTAAAAAACTTGCATATATATAAATATATATAATGTGTGTGTATTGTGACAGTATGAACGGCAAAGTGTTGGATGGACGATATGTGTCACCTCGCATGAGGTCATACGGTGAGGTGTAAGGTAGAGTCCACTCCGGGTTTTCGGGGCCACAATGGCAGAGGTGGTTCCGGACCAGAGTTTGGACTCCACTGATGTCCACCCACAGGTGATATAAAAAGGGCAGGGCTGGAGCAAGGAGTCGCTCGTGGCCTGGGACTCAGAGAGGTGTTCTGAGAGAGCTGTGTGTGTACTATACCTACAAGAAAATGTTTGCTTTTTGTTTTATTTCGGTGACAGGGAGAAGCCCTTCACCTCTGAGAGAGGAAACGCCTTTTGTTTAGTTAGTGCCTGGATGGCAAGGGTTTATTTTCATGTTTTGTTTATTTTCTGCGAACCTTTTAAATAAAGCTGACAACCAGTCAGATTTTGATGAAAGCCTGCTGTGTGGTCTACCTTTGTCCCAGGGAAGGAGATCCCCCACCTGAGCTAACCCCACATATGGTGGAGGATGCGGGCAACTTCCTGAGCAAGTGGGAAGATGGAGGAAGTTATAAGAGCCTTGCTGCAGGCCAACGCAGCACAACGGGAGACAAATCGCCAGTTTTTGCGGAGGCCCAACAAGCAGACCGAGAGCTCCTTAAGCAGGTGGTCCAACACCTATTGGAATTTAAGAAGGAATCGGCAGATCTGCTGCCAGTGGAGCTCGGGAAGGATGGAAAAAGGAGCAATGGGGCATGATGCCTGCTTGCACCATTTTTGACAGGTGAATCCCAAAAAGCCTATTATGACCCTGGCAACCACGGGGGATGCCCAGGACTATGAGAAACTGAAGGCTGAGGTCACTGTTCTTGCACGCCTATGGGCGTCACCATTGCAGTCCGTGGCTCAGGGGTGCATCAGTGGCATTTTTGTTTTTATTACAGGGCTTGACAAACCACCCAGATCCCAGATGTTTCGATTTGATACATCTCTCCAAAAAGTGGCTCAGCCAGAGGTATTGTCAGGCCCTCAGATTGTGGGAGCGTGTTGGTCAATGGACCAATATTTGCGAGTGCACTCCCAGCCACTTTGAGGAAGTGGGTCGGCCGTGGAAGACCCCTAAATCTGCAAACGAGCTGGTGGACCTGGTGGAGAGATATGCAGCCGGCTGAGGAACTTTTTTCATTCACCTGGGCCGTACCCCAAGGTCACTAGGGGTGGAAAACTATCCGGAGGATTCCGGGGGTAAGACTGTTCCATGGGCCAACGGCTCAGGAAAAAAAACGATAAGACTATTGTGTCAGATAATTAGACTGTAGGCTTAGGACCTAGAGACTGGCCAAATAGGTCAGGAGAGGTCCCCAAAAGCCCGTTTTAGAGGTTTAGGTACTGTACATATCAAATGTTTATTGGTGTAATGCGTTAGGTCATATTTGCTGCAAACTGTCCTTTAAATGATGAACCTATGCAATGTGAAAATGCTTATTTAGGAAAACGCATGTCTCTTTTTTGCACAGGTGGCATGTACTCGCAGCATGTCAGAAACGCATGGAAAAGCAAAATGTGTGTGATTGCCATTGATGAAAAGCCAGTAACTGCTCTGCTAGACTCAGGGTAGTGTGGTGACCTTAGTTAAAAGTTGATTTGGTAAACCCTGCCAGCTTACACCCTAGCATGATTGGAGTTATTTGTATTCATGGTGATACACGTAATTACCAGACTGCTCTGGTGGAGATTGGCACTCCCTGGGGCCCTGTGACCCATTCTGTGGGGGGTGGTGCCTCTCTGCTTCATGAAGCCATAGTGGGGAGAGATTTTTCCCCATTTTCTGGAAGTTATGGGATAAGGAGGGGAGTCAGGAGGACCGAGTCCCCCTCCCCCCTGCTGGGGAAACTGCCGGAAACTCCTGAAACTCACTCCTGACCCCTTTGACAGCAAGGTGGAAGGGTAGAAAACTGTAGAGGGTGGCGTCCAAGAAGTGTAGTATTAGACCTTTTTCCTTTTTCTGTAATGGCTGGTAGGAGCAGGAGGAGTTGGAATGCCAACCCCAGACATTGAGGACTATAGAACAAGAGAGATGATCGATTGCTCACTAGTGAGATATGTCCGTGGACCGACGAGCAAGAATGTGGTGCCTGACCTAGAGGTCAGAAAAGAGGATTTTTGTACGGAGATAGACAGGTAGACAAACTGAAAGAATCCACACTTAATAGAGCCCGTGAAAACACATAAAATGATTGATGGGGAGCCAGTTGAAAATGATTGTAGCGGTGTCTTTTCCCTACATGGCTCTTAACAATAACTTGCTGTGTATACAAGAGTACAAGTGGGTAAAAGCAAGGGGAGGAGGTGGTAGAACAGTTAGTGGTGCCCCCAAACCCTTTTGCCGGAATGGTACTGGATTTAGCCATGGGCATAATAATGGGTGGACACTACGTGGGTGCATGTAGAGAAAACAAAGGAGAGAAATAACCCAGAGATCTCTTTTATGGCCAGGCTTACATGGAGATGTCAAAGCACATTGTGAGTCATGCCTCCGGAATGTCATATTCTGCGCCCTCACCCCATTTCGCAGCAGTCCGCTAGTACCTAACTACCCATAATTAGAAGTACCGTTTGAAAGAGTGGGCATGGACCTATTGGTCCAGTAGAAAAGTCTGCCCGGGGGCCATCAGCAATACTGGTTATACTTGACTATGCTCCCACCCGGTATACCTGAACACATCCCTTGCGTAATAATCCACCTCCGCTAAAAATTCGCCAAAGAGCTTGTCGGGCGGGTAGTTTAGTCGTGTAGATTGTAGGTATTCCAAAGGATCCGGTATTAACAGATCAGGGCACGCCATTTATGTCTAGAGTTTATGAAAGAGTTATGCCAAAAACTGTTCAAAATCTCTCATCTCCGTACTTGGTCTACCACCCCCAAACTGATGGGCTTGTGGAAAGGTTTTAACTCAAGACCCTTACGAATAATGTTAAAAAAGGTTGGTGGACAAAGATGGGAGAAGAAAATTGGGATTTTTTGCTACCATATCTCATGTTGCTATACGAGAAGTACCTCAGGCATCTACAGGATATTCTACTTTTGAATTACTGTATGGTAGACATCCCAGGGGATTGCTAGATGTTGCAAAAGAAACCTGGGAGGGAGAGTCCACGCCTATATAGAAGTGTCATTGAGCATATCTCACAGATACGCAAGGATAGAATCGCAGCTGTAAGGGGACCTCGCCCGGCGGTACTACTACTAGCACTCCACTGAATAGGCGTCCCCAGCGCACGGAGTCTAAGTCCCAGGGTGCTTGTTCACCAGAGCCCCTGATGGTGGGGATGGACTTGGAGAGCTCCCTGAGAGACCAGGTCGTGGCTACTGGGTGCGCCCGTCAGAGGTAGCAGTATGCGCCAAGGGGCTCCCACGGGGAAGAGTCTGATGTGAGGACGAGGTCAGAAGACCCCCGTGCACGGGATGGATTGGATGGATGAGCAAGGTCAGACGGGCCGGGTCGGGTAACAGAGAGGGCGGCAAGGTACAAGGCAGCGGCGGCATAGAATGGTCGGGTCACACGCCAGGTCAGCAACAGCAGTCAAATACCAATAGGGGCATTCAGAAGACGAGGTCAGGCAAACAAAGCCTAAGGTCAGAATAGGAGGATAAACAGCAAGGTCAGGTACAATCCGGGTCAATAACTTACAGGGTACAGGTTCACAGGATTCAGAGATGCAGGAAAGTGACCAGAAGGCACAGTTGAATGACAGCTCAGGGTCGTTTAAATATCCCCGCCCTGCGCTTGCCATTGGTGCCCAGCGGTGCGGCCGCGGCTTCTACTGGCGCATGCGCGAACTCGAACGCCTTGCGGCCGGCCCAGGAACCAGTGCTCGAGTCCCTGCGCCGGGCGGCATACTGCGCCTGCGCCATGGGGGGACCAACGCGCGCGGGGATCGAGGGGATCCCTGACATTGCCCCCCCCTAACGGGCAACCTCCGGATCGCCACCCGATCTCTCCACCACGGGGTGAAATCGCGAAAAAGAACCTTGTCCGGAAAGTCTGGGTGCATGGACATTATGGGCCTGGTTCCCAAGAATTGTCCTCAGGACCATAGCCCTTCCATTTGATAAGGAATTGGGTCTGGCCTCCCCTCCTTCGACACTTTCAGGATTGTTTTCAACCTCGAACTCTTCTTCTCCTTCGACCGTTACCGCTTCCGGGGGTCTAGATTCCCCGGTCAGGAAGGCATCTGGGACCACAGGCTTCAGAAGGACACATGAAAGGACCGGGGGTGGATCTTGAGCGTGTCAGGGAGGGCGAGTTCGTAGGCTACTTCGTTAAACCATCCGTTATAATGCAGAAGGGGCTTATAAAATTTGGGTCCCAATTTCTTTGACGGGCAAAGCATCTTTAGATTGGACGTCGCCAAGCGCCAAACCTCTTCTCCCCAGGCCGCAATACCAGATCTCCTCTCCGTTTCCTGTTGAATGCTTTCCTGTAGTCTTCCTGGGCCCGACTGATGGCCACTTGAAAGCTTCTTATTGTTCGCAGCGAAGAACGTTACCCACATCTTGTGTTGCTGGTACTGGCCATTCCGACACCAAATCCGGGAGGAAGACTGGGTGAAAGCCATAGTTGGCAAAGAACGGGGACTGCCCTGTTTGCTGAGTGGCGGGCGTTGTTTAGACGCAAATTCTGCTAAAGGAAGAAGTTGGCAGCCAGTCATCTTGAGTAAACGAGGTATAGCATCTCAAGTATTGCTCCAAGGTCTGATTGGTCCTTTCGGTTTGACCGTTAGTTTGAGGGTGGAACGCAGAGGAGAGAGATAATTTGATGTCCAGGGCTTTGCACAGTGCCCTCCAGAATCTGGACGTGAACTGGACCCCTCGGTCCGAGACAATGTCTTCAGGGACCCCCATGCAACCTGACTACCTCTCGAATGAAGACTTGCGCGGGGGTCTCTCGGCCGCCGAGAGGGGTTTTCTTACAACGGGATGAAGTGGGCCATCTTGGACAAGCGGTCCACGACTACCAGGATTGCCGTGTGGTCTCGGGATGGCGGAAGCTCGACTATAAAGTCTAGTGAGAATCTTTTGCCAAGGCCGTTTCAGGAATAGGTAAGGGTCGCAGCAGACCCCAAACCTTGTTTCTTGCTGGCTTGTTCTTCTGGCAGGTGACACAGGACCTGACATAGGCCCTTTACAATCCTTAGCCATGTCTGCCACCCAGAATGAGCGTCGGAGAAGTTCCAGGGTCTTTTCTGGGCCAAAGTGCCCCCGCCATTGGGTGTGGTCGTGGCAATGCCCCAAGACCAGGGTTCGGGTTTAACTTTCCGGCACCACAATTCGGTCATCCCTCCATAGGAGTCCCCCCTAGTTCCGTGAGCGGCCCTCCGCCTGGGGTAGAGAAGTTTGTGGATGCCTCCATTAGCCTGGAACGAAGATCCGACTGAAGGACCAAGAAGTTACCCGAGGACAGGATGGTGTCAGGTACTGGGGTCTCCTTGGCGTCTTCGTACATCCGTGATAACGCATACCGGCTTAGTGTTCTTTGATCCCGGCCGGTACGTAATAGGGGAAGTTGAATCTCGAAAAGAATAGTGCCCATCTCGCCTGTCGCGGGCGTAGACGCTTGGCGGTTCTCAGATACTCTAGGTTTCTTGTGGTCAGTAAATATTAAGATGGGGTGCACCTCACCTTCCAGCAGGTACCTCCATTCCTCTAACGCCGTTTTGATCGCTAGTAGCTCTCGATCACCGATATCATAGTTCTTCTCCGCTGGGGTCAGCTTCCGTGAGAAGAACGCTACAGGGTGGAGTAGTTTCCTTGGTGCCTTTTCGTTGGGAGAGGATGGAGCCTACCGCATTCTCCGATGCATCTTACCTCCACGATATAGGGCAGAGCGGCATCTGGGTGACCCAAAATGGGTGCCGAAGTGAACAGCTTCTTTAAGACTCCGAAAAGCTCCCTGCGCTTCTGGTGTCCATCTGAATCGGGTTCCCAGCTTGGTTAGATGAGTAATGGGGGAGACCAGACCCGAGAAGTTCTTGATGAACCTTCCGTAAAAAAAAATTTGCAAAGCCGGATGAATCGTTGGACGCCTTTCCTATCTGTGGGTTCAGGCCAATCCAGTATTGCTAAAAAGAAAAAGCGACCTTCTGGGGATCCATCGCGACCCCCGCGGTGGAGATAATCAGGCCCAAAAAGGCAATGCTGGATTGTTTCAAAAACAACATTTTTTCTGCCTATTGGCGTACAACCCATGCTGCCGCAACCGCCCCAATACTTTTGCTACGTGTATTCTGTGTTCCCCCAAAGACGGGGAGAAAATCAGAATGTCGTCTAAATAAACGATCACGAAGACGTCCAGAAAGTCCCTAAATATATCGTTTACAAAGTGTTGAAAAGTGGCCGGAGCATTGCACAACCCGAACGGCATGACCAGATATTCAAAATGACCGAAGCGGGTGCGGAAGGCCGTTCTTCCACTCGTCCCCCTCCCTTATGCGAATCAAGTCTGTACGCCCCCCTCAGATCCAGCTTGTTAAAAAAACCACTGCTGACTTTAAGCTTTGGAACAGCTCTGGTACTAATGGTAGTGAGGTAACGGTTTTTTATCGTGACCCTGTTCAATTCCCTGTAATCGATACATGGCCTTAAAGGTTTTGTCCTTCTTTTCAACAAAGAAGATTCCCCGCCCCCCGCCGGTGAGGTGGAGTGACGGAATGAAAACCCCTTCTGGAGGCTTGTCCTCGATATATTCCTTTAGGGCCCCCAATTCGGCTCTGAAAGGGGGAAGATTCGCCAAAAGGAATTTCTGAGCCGGGTAACAGGTCAATGGGGCAGTCATAAGGGCGGTGGGGGGGTAGAGCATCAGCTCCCCCCGTTTGCTGAACACGTCTAAAAACCCATGGTAGACCGCAGGGATTACTTGTTTTAGTTCCGCTTCCCCCTCAGAACACAGGAGGATTTGGGGGGCCCCCGGCCCGAAGTGCGACAGTATATCCGACAGTATGGGGAAGGGAACGTGATTACTCCGGTCGCCCAGTCAATCTGGGGGTTATGGGCCCGTAACCATGGGAGCCCCAGAATGACTGGGAAGAGGGGGTGAAGCTATAGCATCCAGGCGGAGGCATTCCTGGTGCTGGCCGGCACAATGACAGTGGTGATGGAGGGGTTTCCTGGTTCACCTACTCCCGACTCCCTTTTATTCGGGAACCGTCGGCCAAAAAAATATTGAACCCCTTCTGTTTTAATTGAAGGGGAATACCCTGCTGGTGAGCAAAAATTAATATCCCACGAAGCAGCTGCATGCCCCAGAGTCAATTATGGCCGATACTTCCACGGTCCTTTCTGGAAGCTGAAAGGAAAGGGGTACCACTAAGTATTGGGGTGGACCAACATTGCCAATGGATAAGGAAGAAGAGGTGCACTTAACTCAGTTTCTGCGGGCAGGAACGCGCCATATGACCAGCTTCGCCACAATAGAGGCACAGGTTCTGGGATCGTCTGCGCAGATGTTCCTCTGGGGATAGTTTAGGCCGTGCCAGGCCGAGCTGCATGGGTTCGGGGTTGTCTCCAGGTGGCCGGTTTTGGACGACTGGCCTAGGTGTTTGACTGGGACCCTGAAATGATCCCCAGGGATTTCCATGACCCTGGCCGGACCTCTCAAACCTGCGTTCCCGCAATCTCACGGTCAAATTTTGATGGTCAGTGCTATTAAGTCCTCTAAAGTCTCAGGTACCTCCACCCGGGCGAGCTCGTCTTTCAGGCCATCTGATAGGCCCAATACGGAACTGATGCAGGAGTGCGAACTCGTTCCAGCGAGTATCCCCCATCACCATCGCCTAAAATCAGCTGCGTAACTCCTCCGCCTGCCCTCGGCCGGCCTTGCCGGAGCGTGTACAGAGTAGCTTCAGCAGAAGCTGCCCGCTGTGGGTCATCATACAGGATTGGCCATAGCATCAAAAAAACTGTCAACCGAACCGAGGTGAGGGTCGTTTTTTTCCCCGTAATCGATGGGCCCAGTCTTGGGGTTCACCCTGCAGGAGGGAGATGACGAACCCCACCTTCACGGATTCAGGTCACGAAGGTTCGGGGTTGTAGCTCAAAATAGAGGAGGCAGGACTCGCGGAATGATCTAAAAACGTGTGCGGTCCCCGTGAAAACGTTTCCGGTAAGGGTACTCGGGGGGGTCGGCCGCCGGGAGTGGTGCGGATGCCCCAGACACCAGCACAGGGGCTGCTACAGCTGGGGACGTGGTGACCGCGGCCTGTGTGGGCGGGAGCGGATATAGTGCAGGCCTGGAATTGAGTTTCAATCCGCTGACATCTATCCTGCAGGGCCGATACGGTCTGAGTCAAATTGGACAGGGTGCCTGCAGATCTCCTCCAGCGGAGATGGACCTCCTCTAGACACTCAGTCATGGCCCTTCTGGTACTCGTAAGGGACCGCCCGGCGGTACTACTAGCACTCCACTGAATAGGCGTCCCCAGCGCACGGAGTCTAAGTCCCAGGGTGCTTGTTCACCAGAGCCCCTGATGGTGGGGATGGACTTGGAGCTCCCTGAGACCAGGTCGTGGCTACTGGGTGCGCCCGTCAGTGGTAGCAGTATGCGCAAGGGGCTTCCCCATGGGGAAGAGTCTGATGTGAGGAGGTCAGAAGACCCCGCTGCACGGGATGGATGGATGGATGAGCAAGGTCAGACGGGCCGGGTCGGTAACAGAGAGGGCGGCAAGGTACAAGCAGCGGGCATAGAATGGTCGGGTCCACACGCCAGGTCAGCAACAGCAGGTCAAATCCAATAGGGGGCATTCAGAAGAGAGGTTCAGGCAAAGCAAGGGTCAGAATAGGAGAAACAGCAAGGTCAGGTACAATCCGGGTCAATAACTTACAGGGTACAGGTTCACAGGATTTCAGGATGCAGGAAAGACCAGAAGGCACTGAATGACAGCTCAGGGTCGTTTAAATATCCCGCCCTGCGCTGCCATTGGTGCCCAGTCGGGCTGGCGGCCGCGGCTTCTACTGCGCATGCGCGAACTCGAAACGCCGCGGCCGGCCCGGAACCAGTGCTCGAGTCCCCCTGCGCCGGGCGGCATACTGCGCCTGCGCCGGGACCAACGCGGCGGGGATCGAGGGGATCCCTGACAGCAGCTGTCATGCCCACTTGTTCGGGAACACATGGAGCAAGCCCAGGAGGTCCAGAGAAGGGTTTATAACCGGGGTGCCAGGATCCGTACCTTTCAACCCTGGGGATAGAGTGGCTGGTGCTAGTCCCCACCGTGGAAAGTAAATCCTCTCGCAAAGTGGCTAGTGTGTACCCTATGAACTTAGGTAGAAAGTGGGAGAAGTAAATTATACAAGTAATAACCGATCCAGGAAAAAGGAAACCCGAACAAATCAATCATGATAATCTCTTAAAACCCTTGGAAAGACAGGGAAAGTTTGTTGGCAGTATCCCCCAATCCCCCAAAAGGGACGTGGTCCCCCCCGTGGGGGCCACTCAGGTGACCAATAACTGAAACCTAGTCAGTCGATCCAGGCAAGACATAGACGAAAAGGAGTTATAGTGGATAAAGAAGTACGGAGATTTCTCTCTCACCTACCCTGGACTGACCAACGTTCATACAGCATAGACATCAGTTAACCCCTCATCCCGGGGTCCCGCGTAAATCGTCAAGAAGTCCCTAATATGAATACCCGAGGCCAGCGCGGAAGCGTGTATGGCAAAAGGAAATAAAAGTGACATGTTCGAGTTGGGTGGGAGTGATCGAGGAATCTCCACAGTGAGTGGTCGAAGTCCCCATAGTGATGGTCCCAAAACCAGATGGAACCATTCGTTTTCTGTATATGATTTCAGGAAACTGAACAGTGTGTCCTAAAATTTGATGCGTACCCGATGCCTCGGGTGGATGAGCAACATTGACAGGTTGGGAACGGCTCGGTACATAACCACCTTAGATTTAACCAAAGGCTATTGGCAGATTCCTTTAACGGAAGCTGCAAAAGAGAAAAAGACGGCATTCTCCACCACCCGAGGGGGTCCTTTCAGTATAACAGCTGGGATGCCGTTTGGTTTACATGGTGCTCCGGCATCATTCCAATCGAATGATGGACAAAACGCTAAGACCACATCGCCAGTATGCAGCTGCCTATTTGGACGATGTCGTCATGGCACAGTCCAGAATGGGAGTCTCATTTGTCCTGCTTGCAAGCGGTAGTAGATTGCTCGCTGAGGGAAGCAGGTCTTACCGCCAACCCCAGAAAGTGTGCCATAGGCTTAGAGGAGGCCAAATATCTTGGCTACATATTGGTCGAGGTCTCATTAGGCCTCAGATAAATAAAATCGAGGCTATTCAAAAGTTGGCCCCAACCTGGTAAATAAAAAGCAAGTCGGGCATTTCTTGGAATCACGGATACTACAGGCGGTTTATTCCCAATTTTGCCACCATTGCAGCCCCACTGACAGATCTGACAAAATTAGGGGTCGGTCATGGTCAAGTGGAATCCCGAGGCGGAGACCGCATTTCAAAAGGCTGAAACAAGCTCTCTGTGCTCAACCTGTGCTTGTGACCTCCAGATTTCACAACAGAGTTTGTGGTACAGACTGATGCCTCTGATGTGGGACTAGGTGCGGTACTGTCCCCAAATCAGAAGAAGGGAGTAAGCACCCTGTTGTCTACCTAAGTAGAAAGCTACAACAAACAAGATGAGAAACTATGCCATTGTGGAGAAGGAATGTTTGGCCATCAAGATGGGCCTTGGAGAGCCCTGAAATATTACCTGTTAGGAAGACAGTTCAAGTTGGTTACTGATCATGCCCCGCTCAAATGGATGTGTGATAATAAGGAGAAAAACAGTCGAGTGACAAGGTGGTATTTTCGCGCTACAAGTGTTCAAATTCACAGTGGAACACAGAGCGGGGAAACTGCAAATAAATGTAGATGCCCTTTCCAGGGTCCATTGCCTGGTTGGGAACAGTTGCTCAGCCGCAGGGGCTTGAGCAGAGGGGGGGATATGTGACAGTATTGAACGGCAAAGTGTTGGATGGACGATATGTTTGTCACCTCGCATGGGGGGAAAGGTCATACGGTGAGGTGTAAGGTAGAGTCCACTCGGGGGTTTTCGGGGGCCACAATGGCAGAGGTGGTTCCGGACCAGAGTTTGGATCCACTGATGGTCCACCAATCAGGTTTGAATATAAAAAGGGCAGGGCAAAGAGCAAGGAGTCGCTCGTGGGCCTGGGGACTCAGAGAGGGTATCTGAGAGTGCTGTGTGTGTGTGTACTATACCTACAAGAAAAGGTTTGCTGTTAGGGCTTTTATTTCGGGTGACAGGAGAAGCCCCTTACCTCTGAGAGAGGAAACGCCTTTTGTTTAGTTAGTGCCTGGATGGCAAGGGTTTATTTCATGTTTTGTTTCAGATTTTCACTGCGAACCTTTTAAATAAAGCTGACAAACCAGTCAGATTTTGAGGACAGCCTGCTGTGTGGTCTACTACTTTGTCCCCAGGGAAGGAGATCCCCCCAACCTGAGCTAACCCCAGGAAGTAGTATAAAATTAAACAAGCTCACCACATATGTTATATGTGTCGAGCACACTCCAAACTGCACATGCGATATACAAGCAGGGGTTCATTGGTTAACGTCATGGGGCCACTCCGCACATAGGTGATCACTCTAATCTGGCCCGGGAATCCTTGCCCAACACTCAGTATAGCCTATGCAACCGGGTTATCAGGAGGGCATCTCATCGTCCTTCTACTGACACACAAGACCAAAAGGCCAAAAGTCCTAGATTCCAAATGATCATCAGCCCCAGTATACTAGTATTTTGCATAGAACACTAGTTGTTCATGAGCATAAGATTAAAGTCTAATGATGTACTTCTTTACAAGGAAAAAATACTACGATCTGACTCGAAGAGTAACACTATGATAGAACCAGTGTGTATCTTATGGATGTCACCAGGATTAGGTGAATTTCCGAATCCCTTTGCTATTACAATCCACAATTAAATCTGATGAGTACGGATGTGCTGATCCTTGCATATAAGGCTTTGGTGGCCATGATAGCTGGGAACAAAGGAATTCCAGTAAAGGTATATCCTTATTGGCAAATTTAGAAATATGCTTCGGGAGCTGCTGTAGACTTGATCAGTCTAGCTTGCAAATAGTGCCTCCTACTGCCCATACGGTTCTAATGCATCTAGTAGAGAATAAATTACGTGCTCTTAGAAAAAAGTATTTCTAAAGCAGTAAAACCGTGGTCTAAGTTTTTCCCTTTGTAGTAGATAACCTCGCCCCGAGTTGTCCAAGGATCTGGTGTGAGAATCCTAATATTACACTGTCCAGAGACATAACTGGACACACATGGGCAACAGGTGTAGGCGCCATATTACCCTACTGGGTATAACCACAGGACTTGAAACTGCAGTATCCTGTAAAGAGGTGATCATAAAACCCATTTTGTATTCATACTCGAGGCAAAGCTGCACAACACGCACCATATGATTTTCAAACACAGCAGACAACAGATATGGGGATGGAGGAAAGTCATGAATCTTCAGCCAAGACGGGGACTTGCATATTCCCACGCGGCTATGTAGCAAATACCTTAGACAGTAGAAGCAAAAAGCACCAAAGAGCCCGGCTCGAACGGTCTCTTTCATAAGGCCAAGATTAGTTGATATTGATTGGACGATACATGTCTTACAGAATAAAACTAGAGACGGTGTAAAGTGATCACTGCATTACCCACAATTTCAGGGCGGTCTCTAAAACTTGCGTAGTCTGATTTGTGACTCTGTAAGTGCTAGAGTATGAAGTGTGGAGGACCTTAGCAAACCAAAATATCATCAGACATAATCTGATCATTTATGATTTCCAAGGTGCCATTGGTAACTTAAAGTACCTAGCCTACATTTAAAACGTGTGATTTCATTCTTTATTGAGGAAGGTGCCCCATACACGGCTTACCTATTGGGTACTCAGTACTGCAGGGTTACCTTGGAAAGGCCTAAGCATTAATGTCATTTAGTAGAACTGCGAACATTGGCCTCTTTCAGCCAATAACATCCAGAGCGAGTGTTCTCAGCATGGATGAGTTCAAAGATCGATGTTAAATGAATGCCAGAGCACAGTCGCCCAAGATGGTCGAATCTACCTCGTGCACAGTAGGCAACCTGTCAGAAACAAATGAATAAAGACTCAAAATCCTTTCGTACCTAGAGCTTTTATTTCCATACATCAATTAATTGCTATATGGAATACGACAATTTTTCTAATCCAAAACCCGATAAACATTAGACAAAAAAATCAAAATTGTAAATTGTCCTCAAAAAAAATTGTCAGACAAGTGAATGAAGGTCGACTGTTAGAAAAATATAGCAGAACCCTGTAAATTCTTCCTGAAACCAAACATTCAATATCCAGTCCAGGTCCCAAAAATATTGGACACCTATCGAAACAATTCTTAAACATTTTTGGCTCTATAACACCACCACAATGGATTTGAAAATGAAACGAATATAGGATGTGCTTTTAACTAACAGCAGACTGTCCAGCATTAATTTGAGGGGGATTTAAATCCAAATCAGGTGAACACGTGTAGGAATTGCAACAGTTTGCATATGTGCCTCCCATTTGATAAGAGAGGACCAAAAGTAATGGGACAGAATAATAATCATAAATCAAACTTTCCCACTTTTTAATACTTGGTTGCAAATCCTTTGCAGTCAATTACAGCCTGAAGTCTGGAACGCATAGACATCACCAGACGCTGGGTTTCATCCCAGGGGTGATGCTCTGCCAGGCCTCTACTGCAACTGTCTTCAGTTCCTGCTTGTTCGTTAGGGGCATTTTCCCTTCAGTTTTGTGTCTTCAGCAAGTGAAAATGCATGCTCAATCGGATTCAGGTCAGGTGATTTT